ATATATATTCATCTGGATATTTGACCAGGAGTCACATTTCTGGCAGAGAGATTTGATCTTCCTACCCTTTTCTGAGGTCCTTTGGTCTATTCCAGTGGAGAATATTTTAGGATCCAGGTACTTTTCCTTCTTAGTGATGAATGGAAAATCTAGAAGTCCTGGATGCAGACTTAGTCTGTCGTCCACCACAATCTGAAATTATATTAAGGGGAAATATATAAACTCCTTGCCCTGCTGCTCTTACTCTTCTCACTGGAAGAGACAGATAATGAGGCAGGAGTCCAATTTCTGTGATCTCTAGCCTTCCTACTGATAACCAGCTAAAGCTGCCAACAAGCAGAAACCCTGCCCTTGCATTTGGTTGTGTGATCTTTAATGCAGAAGACCTAGAGATTTAACAACTCTGGAAGGAATTTATTTTCCTCCTACCCTAGATATGTCTGACCACTGGTAAATCCTCTGTAGGTTTATAAACCCTGAAACCTGGAGATGACTCAGAAATTCCCTGCTCAAGACCTCTGCTATCTGTTTTGAAGAAAACAGCCATACAAAGATGCTTACAGAGGTCTTAGTAACTTGTCCAGATCATGTTTCTGGAGAGTGACAGAAAGGGAATTTATACCCACATCAGGCTGACAGCTGTTATCTCAAAGAACCTATGATGCAGTTGGGCATGGTACACAAGCCTGTAATCCCAGCTGCACAGGAGGCTGAGGCAGGAGGATCACAAGTTCAAGCCCAGCCTCAGCAACTTAGCAAGACCCTGTCTCAGAGGAAAAAAAATAAAAAGGTCTAGGAATGTAGGGATATAGCTCAGTGGTACAGTGTCCTTGGCTTTAATTATCAGTAACAACAACAAAAAAGTCTATACTCCAAGTTTCACAACCAAAGGGACCTACCATCCTAATACAGCCAAAGAGGTATTCAATAAATAGCATGATATAGACCATCAATTAAATGGGCCACTTTTAAGAATATTACATAGAAAGATAAGGCATAAACTGGTACTGCCAAGCAGTCCAAGGTATGGTCATCCTAAAGGACAATGTAAGCTTCCAACCCATGTCACCTGTCTTAGTCACACATCAGCAAAAATCTGTGGGTCATATCATGCTTCCTTCTCTAGCCTAGTCATACACAAATTACAAAGGGTTTATTATAACACAAGCAGCTCTTTTACTGAGATTAAATGTATCTTTCTTCTCCAAACCACTCCTTTCCAATATTTACACCATTACTTTGTGGAAATCTACTGTTCCCTATTAGTTAATGATTTATTCAATAAACATGTATCAAGGGCTAGGGATGTAGCTCACTGGTAAAGCACCTGCCTAACATACACAAGGCATGGGCGCTTCCAAAAACAAAAACAAAAAACAAACAAACAAAAAAATAACCAAAAAAAAAAAAAAAACCAGTAAGGCAGTAAAGAGCATTTTCTGTTTACAATTTACTATAAACTAACTGCAGGGGCCTCTAGCAAGCAAGATATAGAGCCTTTTCTAAAGGCACTTCTCTGCAGAATAAACTCCATTCAAACCACTTCAGTGTCATCAACTGTGTATAAAACACACACATGCACAGGCACTTAGGAAAGGCAGAGACTTATCAGACAGAAGTTACAGCACTAGGCAGAGTCTAGCAAGGACTTAAACTGTGTACAAAAAGTAACTGCACTACAAAATAGAAATTGGTAAAAATAGAGAGGATACAATAAATGTTATTGAAGATTAGCAAGGAAAGTGATGACTGCAGCTGAAGCAGGCACTGACTGAACACAAGAGGTTCTTTCTGACTGAACAAGAACTGGTTTGGCTGGTAATAATTGAGAGAGAAAGTGTGGTAAAAAAGAAACTCTTGGTGGAGATAATCTTCAAAGTTAATGAAAATATGAGACAAAAATAGGAAACAGACTATAAATAGCCCAGTTTGGCTCAAGTACAAGATATTAGAAAAGAACTATAGAAGAATTTTCTGGAAAGGAGAGAGCTTTAGAATCAGAACATGGCAATGCCATGAAGAGAAGACTGAAGACTTGGGATTTAACTTAAATAGAAAATAGGGAATCATTAATATTTTCTGATTAGAGGAGTGATATAATCATCAAGTTGTGCCTTATGGAGGTCACTCTGTTAGGCATGTATTGGATGGACTGCCACTAAATTCTGTCTTGAAATCATCTTGGGTCCTGAGGCTGTCACAGTAATTGCTATCCTCTTAGCTTTGTGTCATCTACAAACTCGATCAGCATGCTACCTATGTCCTTATCCAAGTCATTAATAAAAGTAATTAATAATTCTGCATTAATCCTTGTCAGCAAGAGCAACTATACACTTCATTGGAGATTCTGGGCACAAGTAATTTCAGCCCTACTACTTGGCTATACTGAAACCATCTGGCCTTCTGAACTGCTTTGGCTTATTTTAAAAACCCATGCACACCTCTAGATTTTCCCAATTTGCTTGTTTATAAGCTGCTGAACTCCTAAAGCAATACTTAGAAGACATTCTAATTAGTGTGATTGAGGACCTTAATTGATATTCCCAAGAGTAACTGGACTACGCCAGAGGCAGCAGAGAGGTCACCAAGGTAAAGCTAATCCGAAGGTAACCTATGTGCAAACACAAATCTAGGATGAGTCCTTCCCTGTGATGAATTAAAACAAAGCACAATGAAAAGAAATGTGATTGAAGGGGCTAGTTTTGACAGACTTAAGGTACCAAGGTTAGCAGGAGGCGGTTGGCTGCTCTGAAACTCCTTGGAGAACACTGGTTCATTTAAAATCATCTTGCATTCAACCTTGGAATTTTATTATTGTAAACAGTAATACAATTTTGGTTCTTGTTTCTTAGGGTAAGGAGGTGTTGGGTCAAAAATGGAAAAACTGTCAGAAAACAAAGGAACCTGCCTAATCATGCAACGGCTCCCTGTATCTGAACTATAGCTGAGCTTTAGATTATTGTTTTGGGCCCCATCAGATCTTGCTCTTCAGATATCTGGAATCTACATATAATGAATTCCCAGCTAGGTTTTTCTGTGTTATTCATTTTATATACTGTATGAACATTTCTATATGTCCCACCTTATGTATTAGTACTTCTCTCACATTTAATGACATCATTTTCTAATATATCAACTTAGATGCCTAGATCATGTAGCAAATATGTATTTAGTTCTGTATAATCAAGAAAAAAAAAGTTAACGAAGATTTATTAACATGTGCTCAGCACTGTAATATCTGTCCCTGTATGTGGAATTTTCTAAGGTCTGCATTCTCTAGCTTGATAAACTTCAGGACCTCTTTATCTCGGAATCACCCCGACTATTGGATTCCCTGGTCATAATACCAGGTGATGAGCTGAAACTAGGTTTACTGCCCCAAGGCTGGTGTTGCTTTGGGTCACCATTTGTCAGTATTTCTTCTCCACAGTGGCACTCCACCAGTCCATAGGACTGAATTTATCCCAGTTTCCCAATTTCATGTATAGCTCCATATTCATACAGTCTGCTCAAGGCTTAGAACTTCCACCTGGTAGTTGTCAGTTCTCCTTCCCAGAAACTTCATATTGTACCCTGTAAAGTCTTGTTCTAAGCTGAAGTTATGGTTTGCATCTAGAATGTCTCCCAATGTCTCATGTGTCCTGAGATGGGCTTTTGGGGAGTGATTGGATCATGAGGGCTCTGACCTCACCAATGGAAAAATCCACTGAGGGCTCCATGAACTACTGAGAGATGAGACCCAGTTGGAGAAAATAGTTCATTGGGATGCACCTTGAAAGAATTTATCTTGGCCCTAATCCTTTCCTCTCTGCTTCCTGGCAGTCATGAGCTGAGAAACTCTCACTAGGCCCTCTGACATCATGTTCTGCCTCACCTCAGGCTCAAAACAATGGAGGCAGATGACCATGAACTGAGATGTCTGAAACTATGAGCCAAAACAAACCTCACCTCCTCCCAGTTGTTTCTGTCAGGATTTTTAGTCACAGTGATGAAAAGCTGACTGACACAACCAGATAAACCTCCTGTAACCATGACACTGCTATTACTTGCTTCGTTTCTGCCATGGTTGACAGATGCCCTTGGCTATCATCTGCCCAGTGAAAAACCTGGCCATTAACATGAGGGCATGAACTATAGATGGCCATCCCCATGTGGGGTCAACCCTGCTACCAAATCACTTGCCAGAGTCCTGCTGACCTCATCCATATTTTTTTCCTTTTCCCTTCTCTAATTTACTGACAAAGTTTGAGTAGGTTTTGGATTGGTACA